AAACAACTTTTTATTGACTTGATGCCAGCAAGTGAAAATCCTGGTTGTTTCCTGAAGCAATCAAACTGTGTCCTGCTGAATTATCTAGTTCATTGATCGCTTTTGGGATGCGCCGTGCACTTGTCCTCACTTCAAGTCCGTGGAAAAAAAACGGCTCAAGGACTCAATTGAGAAAAACCTCTTACACAAAGAAGAAGCTATTGGAATATGGACGACTTATTACACGAAGGATCAGAAACTTTGCAGGTTTCGTGCTGTCATCCCTATGTAAAACTCGCTGTGATAGCGGGAGTAGCGGAAACATATTTCTCCATGGAGTTTTGTGGGCCATTTCCTATCAAAAGGACGCTGTCGTCCTGAAACGCACGCTGCCATGAGATCGCTTCAGCACCGTTTTAACGACCTCAGTGCCATCATAAAATGATGACTGGGCGACAGAAGAATAACAACAGAAAGCACGATGAATGAGCACCTTCATTGATCGACATTCACTATGAACTATTTCTACAGTTCCGCACTGAAAGGACTCTCGAAAATGGCTCGACCATTGACCTCAGAACTCAGTGCGAAGTCCAGCGCTTAGGCATGACTGCAGCAACCTTGCAGCCGTCGGCTATAAACGGGCGTACGTATGGAGTTAGAAAAGTCGCGTGGATCGTGTGCGTGGGACTATTCGCCGTCGAAATTACGTCGTTTCGAAGGGACATTTTCATTTTTCGCGCCAGATGTTCGGTGGCGTCTTCTGCGGCGCTGCATCGAACGAGACGAGCATCTCGGCCATCATCTCGACGGCTATGTGATCGTGATAGTGGTTGTATAGTGCTGCTGAGTGTACACCGTCGGCTTGGTGTTTGTTATGCAGATCCGAGCTCATCACTCATTGTCCGTCATCTACACATTCCTTCTGTACATGCTTTTTGTTGTTGTTTACTTCTCTTTTGTTTTACCTATCGGATTACTTACATATGTGACATCTTCTGGAATTCCCAGGCACAGCAGCAGCTGATTTTTCGTTCAGTAACTTGGCAAACCATCCTTTCCTTCGCGTATTTTCCTTTCTACTCCCCCTAGTTGTCCCTAATAAACTTCCTCCTACAGTGCTGCCCTCTTTATCTTAAATTTTTTTGTTTAAGTAGCATTCTCTGCTGAAACAAGGTTCAAAGTAATATTTTCAACCATTTCTTCACAACGTTCTTCCCTTTTTCTGGAAAGGCGATCAGGAACAGATTGTCAGAGCCTATTTTTTAAAAATGTGAAAAAACAATTATAAAATATTGGGAATTGCTCAGAAATGGGTCAGCCGCGGTACTCCGACCATGACTGGATTTACTCAAACACCATGAAGCTATCCGTGACCCCCCCCTAGTTTTTCAAGATGAGATAATTCCACACATTCGTCTCCATTGGGCGTTCCAGAGCTCCTGTAGGTCTGCCCGCGTCAGCCAAGATCACTCAACTGCCCAAGGGAAGGAAGTCAGGTGAAGGTAACAAAGTCGTTGACGACAATGATTGATCCTTTAGCACAACAATATATCCCAAAACATCTAATAAGTAATCTCTGGAAAATGATAGGTCAAATATGGGTTGAGTGGCTGGGCAAAAATTTATTAATCCGCTGAAAATGATCGCAATGGCCGTTAATCTGAAGCAATGAGTGCGTTCTCAATGATTTGAACTGTGCAAAAATGAAATTTTCTTGAAAAAAGGTATGAATATAGAAAAAGAGAGAAAAACAAAGAGGAAGTGCAACTGTGCTCCTCTTTTGTTCATACCATTCCCAACCTACCTTATTTAGACCAATCTGTTTCGGTCGCATGACTGCGTGGAAGCTTTTCTTTTTGATTTTCATTTTTGAAAGCCTCTTAGCAAACTCGATCTGACAGTGCCTCTTTCCTTCTCCGAGATTGTACATTTTTTGAACCAGAGTTTGAGACTAAGACCCGTTGGCTTGCGCACATACAGTAGCGGTCAAAAGTGTTTGCCGAAACGATTTTCAGTGCATTATTTTTTCTCGCTTGAGCAACGCTTCCAAAGATTGATACTTTGTTTTTTAGTGTTTCATATCCTCAAGTCTTAAAGAATCAGGATATCCAAAGAGAAAATTTTTCGAACTCACCGACTGTTTTTCTGAGAAAAAAAGATTAGAAGCAGAAAAGCCTTGCTGAAAAGCAAGGCGAACACTTTGATCGCTACTTTATTACTTACCAGGGTCAAATACGAGATCAAGCGACAACCAGCAAATAAATAAATAGTTCATCTTACTTGTTTGACCATCTCTATGAACCGTCGTATAACTTTTTTGTTGCTTCGTGCTTCAGGAATAGGTTACTACTAGGTTAGCAAAAATTATCCCGCTTTTTCAGGAGTGGATTCTTTGATTTTTCTGGATTTCCAAAGGTATGACGTATCTGAAGGGCTAATCTTCACATGTTGGTGTTCAACTTTGTGTTTTTGCTTCACTAGAACTTACACCTGCAAAAAGTCTGACATGCCACATGAGTGCAAGTTGGCTCGAAGCAATGCTTCTGCATCTGCTCGTAGAATCAATGAAGCCTGGGATGAAGGCACGGTTGCAGAGAGGACTGTTCGAGAGCGTTTGTTGATTACGCATTTATTGTTGTTTTTGTTTGGTTTTGTTAATAAACTTATGAGTGAAATGAAAACGGCGGATAACTGTAGCTCAACCTAATAGCAAATAAAACTGGAAAAATTAAAACTAAAACAAATGAAAAACAACGATAGGAGGTCCTTTTGGTGCTACTAAATGCTTGCAAACCTTTCTCCATATATCTTTCACTTTTCTCTTCTTTCTTTATCTCTATGTTTTCATCGTTCATTTATTCTCCAAGCCGCTTGCTAGTTTATTCGCTATTAAATCACTCTTGGAAATTGCACGTTCAGTCAGCTTATCTGCCAAGTTAATAGAATCTTTCTCTTCTCGTCTTTCCTTTTCCTTTTCATCCACTTCTATTTTCTCTTTTAATTTCTTTTATTTCGCTAGTTTGCGTTAATCAGCTGTCCACTACACATCATATACTATTTACCTCCTTTACTTTCGTTCCCCTCTTTCATTTCTGTGCGTCTGTCCCTCCATAATTTCAGTTTTCTTTTTCTTACACGACCTAATCCTTTTTCTTTTCTACCGCCGCTGACCTGCATTTTTAGGCCAGAACCTTTCTTAACACTTTGGAGCCCATGCAGCCCATATGTGGGCTGCAGTCCGTCGACCGCGTAGGACCTTTCAGCCACATTTCGGAAAAATACAAAGTTTTTCTTTTGTTTTTTTCCATTTCATTCGATAAGGTTTCTTCTGCATCATACAGTAGGTTTTTTTTTCAATTTGCTTGATAAGATTCCTGAAAAATTTCACTGAAGTCCCACGCGGCCAAAACGTAAAATATGCGCGGTCTCCAACGAGTTAAACCTTTTCGGGTGCGTAAATGTATAATGTTTTCAATTCGGTAAGGAATTGATAATTTAATTAACGATCAAGCTGATAAAAACGAAAGCATTGGAGCGGTTGGACATTCTTCTGTGTTTCGCTAATGAACAAGCACATCTTTTGGACACGTGGAACAATAAAACGCAATAAATATTCAGATGAGTATTTTATTTTTCCGCAGTTTATTTTCACTATTACTTTGAGGGCGGAAGTGGTGTAGTGGCAAGTGGCACGCTTACCACGCGAGCGGTCCGGGGATCAAATCCTGGGTCGTGAGTCGCCCGGGCCAACCAAGCCTTCCATCCCTCCGGGGTCGGTTAATTGGTACCAGACTTGTCTGGGAGGATAAAAACACTGACTTGTACATCGGCTGGCCCCCGCAAGTCATTGTATAGGCCAGTTCCCGACAGGAGGAGGCCGTCCGCGCAGCAGCACAAGCAGGGTAATGCGGACAATTCGCAGGGTTTTGTAGTGTTTCGCTCCAAAATAAATAAAATGCACCATTGTAGGTCCTATATCGCACATCACGCGCTGCGAATCGCCCGCTGACACTGTCTTCTTGCCGCGCGTCGAGCGTCCTGCCGGGTACTCGTATAGGCCACATCGCATTCAAACGCCACTACGAATACAAATGGAAGTGAATGCGTTACCGGCATCTCAAAAAGGAACGATTAAACAGCAAATGTATACGCAATAAACAAGCACATCTCGGGGACAGTGGAACACATAAAACGCCATATAGTCAGAATGAATATTATTTTTCCGCATTTATTTTCCTATTTGTAAGGGCGGAAGTGGTGTAGTGGCAAGTGGCGCGCTTACCACGCGAGCGGTCCGGGGATCAAATCCTGGGTCGTGAGTCGCCCGGGCCAACCAAGCCTTCCATCCCTCCGGGGTCGGTTAATTGGTACCAGACTTGTCTGGGAGGATAAAAACACTGACTTGTACATCGGCTGGCCCCCGCAAGTCATTGTATAGGCCGCATCCCGACAGGAGGAGGCCGTCCGCGCAGCAGCACAAGCAGGGTAATGCGGACAATTCGCAGGGTTTTGTAGTGTTTCGCTCCAAAATAAATAAAATGCACCATTGTAGGTCCTATATCGCACATCACGCGCTGCGAATCGCCCGCTGACACTGTCTTCTTGCCGCGCGGCGGGCCCCGCAAGTCATTGTATAGGCCACATCGCATTCAAACGCCACTGCGAATGTACAAATGGAAGTAGAATGCGTGCCGCATCCCAAAAAGGGATTGATCAACGGCAAATGCTTTATCCTTTATCCTTTACCACCTTCAGTTCTCCAACATCTCATCGTGATTTACACTGCTTTCAGTAATTTGAGCGCTTTTTCGGTCAAGGGTGTTTTGGCGCAGAGAACCCCAGACATATGAAACCACGACAAATATTTTCTATTTTCGAGCCAGTAGAGGCAGGAGGACAGCGCGTCGAAATAACTGTAAGCCAGCTCTTGAGGATTTTTTGCGTAGGAGGTAAAATTTCCCAAAGAGCACCGCCCTGCCCTTATTCCAGAAAAAATTACTGGGAAACGCCTCAAATTCTGAAATTAGACATCTCTGGTCGTTTACTTGTTCATACTACCTGCAAACTAAAAAATCTCGTAAAGCGACCGCCGCCTACTCGCCGCCTACTAATTTATCCCATCCGCATTCCTTTACCGACGATGGCGCGATGGGAACGTGACCTTTGTCTGAGAACGCCGCGAAAAAAGCCGGCTAATTGGCAGGCGTATGTGCTGCCGCCAGCCGGCTGCTGACGAATGTGTCACCAGTCGGCGACGGGAGAGAGAGCAACGAGTTCGACCAGCTGGCTGGCAGAAATCGTTGTCGCGCAATTTCACTTTTTCTTCGCTATTTCTCGTTCGCTGCTCAAATGCGAGGTGCTGTCGCTTTCTGTCGTTCAGTCGTTGTACTTCCTCCTCATCCTTCCGTGTAGTCGCTTCCAGTCAAAAGCTAATCTGCCTCACCCTTAAAGGACACATTGAATGGCGAAAGTTGGTCCAGCCACGATGACCACGGAACCGCTGTTCCGGCAGTTAATGCCGAAAACACGTCCTTACTATGCCACACCGTATGAGGAAACTCTGGCATACTTGGAAAGACTTGGACGTGTAAGTGTTGTACTTATGTTTATTTGTTAATTATTCAGCGCTCCGCTCAACGTTCATCGCCCCAATGCCAAGAAACGCGACTAAGGTCGCTCGAAGCACAGGTAAAAATATACTTACGAAGTTTTAGACGTGGTTCCCTGCTTAGGTTCAGCACAGGGAAATAACAAGTAGCGTAGGTTCCAGTATGCGCCATGCTTTCGACTTGTCCTACCGTTAATTGTAGTCTTGTGTAGAGTAGAATTTGGGTCCATCCCACTTAGGAGAGAATCTGCTCTGATGCCAATTTGGCCCAAGGAGCATTTAAAGCTACAGACTGTTTTCAGCTTTATCCCTGTGTTGTTTCTTACGGTTTTTTTTATAAGTATGTTTTGTGTTTTATACCCAAAAATCTTGGAAAGTATATTTATTTACTCAGCGAGCAGCTATTACTGACCTACAAGGGTGAAGTTCGGAAAGCAGACTGCGAACTCGGCGAGTTTTCTCTCCCTTCTTATGCCAATCCTTAACCTCACCGGGGAATATGCTAGCTAGTTTGAACACATTGATGCTCTATAACACATAGTACCCTTCTAATGTGAATTAGACCTAGATTTCTTCGATTTCAAATGTGGTATGTAGAGATTTATAAAGATTGATTCACTTTTGAAAAGTTTCGAATGTTTCTATACTAACTTTTGAATTTTATCGTGTTAGTCGAACTGCTCGGTTGACCTTTCACATTAGGTGTTAAATGGCGTTTAACTCTCGAGATAATGCTTTATGTTTCCATTTTTCTGGCAGGACATCTTTGTTCTCTGATCGCCGCCTGACTTATGGAGGGTACAGCGTTGCGAAATCTTCTAATGCCATAATTTTTCAGACCTATCGAAAACACTGCAGTAAAAGAACGGAAGTTCTTTGCTAATTCTGAGAATTCGTAAACTAATTTCCACCTAGCAAATTGTAGACGAGATTTCAGCGACGGCTTCAATTCATTCGACCCTCCACATTTGTTTCTTGTGAACGAAGAGCGGTATCAAAAAGGGGAAAGGAGCTTAACGCGTCAAATCAACTTCGATTGCGTTGGGCGGTTTCAATGGTAAAAAAAAAACCTGAGTAAGATTATTCAAAAACTATTGAACAATATTTTGCTACATGAGTTTCCCATTCTTCTAAGCTCAACATATTTGCGTCTTTCTTGATGATGTATCTGACGTTCGATTTTCTACAAATTTTATTCTGTAATTTCACGGTTTTTTGTTTGACTGCGGTTTTTGTTTCTGCTGTTTTTTTTTCGGAATTTCAAAACACCCTAAGGCTCTTGGCTCTTTGTGTTCACAACTGCTCTTTTAGCCCCTCTAATGTAAAATCAATATATTTATTAGGATATATTGTGTACGTATTCTAGATTCTTTTTTATATTATAGAGTTTATTCTGGAACTTCTATCCCAAGAGCTGTTCTAATCTAGTACTTATTTTGATTAGCTGTATTTCTTAATGAAGGATATTTGACATTTTTAATTGAAGCAACTTTTTTGCTCGGAAATTGCTTGCTCATGCGCAGGCGACACAGACAGATTGAATTTCAGTTTCCTTAGAATTGAATCTAAAAGCATTATTCTCAGCGTCTTTCATTCTTTGAAACGCGTCTCATTTCAAATCGACTTACCGTATAAACAAAAAGCGAGGGGACGCGAAAGTACTAATACAAGCTTATTTTCTGCTCATATTGTGACTATTTATTTATTTACTATATGATTGGCCCTCTTACAATGACTGAATAGAATTATACGATAATCTTTAGAAAATACTCATAAATATTACCAGTTGAGAAGCGCTTTTTTGCAAAATCTTCTTTTTTTCACAAAAAAATCGTAAAAAGTTGGTCGGCATGTTTCTTGCAACGATTTCCGGTTTTAGGTGCAAAACCTGCGTGATCAACTACGTGAGACGTCGTTCGGTTGGGTGATTCCAAGACCGAGAATGAACGATTACGTTACCTCTACAACAGCAGCGAGGTAATCGATAATCGATTTTTATAGATCGGCAGTGAAGTTACGATATTGGAGATAGACCTTCGAAAATTCGGATTTGTTAGTTTAAAGTGGGCTTGAGGAATGCACGAACTCTTTGGGAGGACCTCTAAATACTACGGTCGTATCGATTTTTCGATGGTCAAAAAAAAACAACTGGAAGAGGACAGCACAAACGCCTCGCGTAATGACAACTCACATCGATTTGGGCGTGCTTTTCGGGCACTCCATTCCGGATCCGGAAGGGCGAGTGCTTTTGCTGGCTACTTGGCCCCACCATCCGAACTCGGCTGCTCGTGTGCCGGGTGGGCGCCTTACTTGCCAGAAAGGGTCCTGCCAATTATCTCTATTATATCTGTGTAGCTGTTTCTTAGCAGCAGCTGATCGATAAGGCCCATTAATCTGCCTGTTTACGTCCATGTTCCGCGATATGCTGCCTGAGGTTAGCCCTAGCTGGCTCCATCACAATTTTTCCGAGTTTCTTCAAAAATCCATGTAGCGCTATTTTAGTCGAGTTCACTAACAGCCCTCCGCAAATCGTTGGCAGTTGCTGAGCAGGATGTGCGCAAAAAGCAAGAGGAGATGGAGGAGCTCCGATCGCAGCTCGTCAATCAGGACTATGAACAACGGTTCGTCAATTTATCGAATTTTTCTGTCATTTTTCGGTGTTGACAGCACGATCTTAGCTGCCTAGAATATTTATCGATTCTTTGACTCAGTTAACTTCCTCAAGCATTCACTTAGTGAGTTTTACCCGTAGTTGTCCACAGACAAGTCCCTGAAACAGTCCCCTCAACTGGATGGTGTAACGGGTAGCAAAATTGCCCGGAAAGCCAAGAGATCCGGGTACGAATCCCGGCCAGGGCGGAAGTTTTGCCCATAACTCAGCATTCTTGTAGTAGCTTTTCCAACGCGAATAATGGCGCAAGCTGCAGCTAGCCGACAAAAACAAGTTCAAAAACGACAACCGCCAGCCCCCGATCATTGAAGTGTTTCTTTCCAAGTGAGCCAAGCGTCTTATAGTCTACTCAAATTTGACGAATTAATTGAATACTCACGAGCTTTCACAAGAAGTCGCTGTAGATATATTGATCCGTAAAGTGCACTTCAGGTAATGCCCATCAAAAATGGGCACTTAACGCTTCAAAAGCAGGCCAATATTGGCGTGTGGCCGATTTCAGACATAGGAACGTGCCTCCTTTCCACGCGCACGTGATTTAGGTCGCGATGGCCGAATTGAACTTGTATAATGGCACATTTCAGCTCCCCTGCTCTTCCCATTTAAAATCAAGTGTATGTGTCGCTCGGTAAAGCGGAAACGATGGCCGAAGGGGACGAAACCTGTAACTTTCATGACCCAGCTACAAAAAAATTGAAAAGTCACAAAAACCTAAAAGCTCCGCGCGATTTTGATTCAGCTTTTAACTTTTTGAGTTATTTGGGCGCTATCGCAACGTAGAGGGTTCAACCACAAAACCGCGCCTTGAAGAAAGTAGCGGCCATGGTTAAATATAAACTGCTAACAACTGTGGAATTTCTTCATCCCCCCTTCTGCCTGGAACTTTATTGGTTAGCCACTGAAACTCCCCAAAAAGCTTGCTGCAGTTCACATGTGTTTCAGCCGCGGTACCCTTCCTTCCCTTCCCCTCCCCACTCATCTTTCGATAGCGCAGCGCTTTGCCCTTTCGATGACTTCTAGCTGGCTTGCAGAAAAACCGCCCCATTTGCCAAATACGGCTCCCTCTCCGCGTCGGATTCGCCAGACGAAAGGTTAACTCTGTTTTGGCCCTGCGTTAGTGCTTCACTTCATTTAGCTACAAGCTGAATCCTCGATTCAGCCCTGTAGACGCTGCAAACAAACACAAACGGATCTTCGTGGATCTGCATATCTTATTCGATTCATTTCCGGACTGCAGCTCGACTCCTCCCTTGTTGTTGAATGTAGCCGATTTATTATTCTCATGGATCAGCTATTTCAGAGACCCTCACTTCCAATGCTGTAAGTGAGGAAATACAAATCATTTAATTGACAGAGAATGTTCAAACAGTGAATTAATCAACGAAACTATCTGAACGATGAATTTCAGCGTGGCCGCGTTGCAACCGCGTCTCATCACAATGTTGCGAGTACAGTTGGCAGCAATTGCGAACATCACTAAATCACAAATTCTCGATCGACGACTGAGTGTCAGTGAAGATATTGAGGAACTGAAACAGATGCTGGACGATGTGAATGACGGCGATCTGGAGGAAATTCAGAAGATTCTCGAACAAACTACAGTACTATATGATCAGGTACGTACATAACCCAAACCCATTGGCCACCCCAATCTTTTTTCGTTGTCACTTGGGGACAAGTTGTTCTATTGCGGCTACCCACTTACTGTTTACCAAACAAATCGGTGCCTTTTCATAGTACGCTCGAAACGGGAAATTTAAAATCGCTAAAATAGTCATGAATCAATTTTTTAGAGTATCTTGCGATGCAGCTTCAGCTGAACATCAGGATTTATGGCGGATTTTTCTTTTTTAACGTTTGTTGTTCATCTTGACTTCCTAGAAAAACATTTCTTGATACGTATCACTGATTCTTTTCCCATACTTTCGAGATGTTGGCAATTGAATCTCACGTGGGTATCGTAACCCCATCACAGTCGGACTCATGGACGATGACCGAAGCGTTAGAGGGCGAATCGGACTATTTTGACGACGATGAAGAATTGGACACGAAACAGGATAGCGAATGGCAAGCTGAGATTGACAGTCTATACCATTTGTGATCTATTTCGTTACCCTATCTAAGACTCCAAAAATACGTTTGACTTCCGAATTCACTTAGAGGTTACCTGGAGTTGCTCAGCGACTTTGGTAAAAAAAAAAAATAAAGAAAAAAAAAAAAAAAAAAAATGTACATCAGAGTGGCTTACTTAGAAGCCGTTCCTTGGGGTTTTAATCGATTATATAGGTTCACACTGAGTTTCCCATTGTCGAATTATTAACAGAAAACCCTGCACCTAGGCGAAATCGAATCCCGCTTATTTCTCTCTAGGGGAAGGCCTTTGAAGGTTAAGCGCTACCGCAATATACGGGGGCATTTTGAGGGCAATGCATTTAAAACAGCGTAAAACATGTATTTTTTGTTAGAAAATGTAATTGAGCTTTCGGGGGAGGACAGACTCCAAGATGCGTTCCATTTGCATTTTCCCAGAGCTCCTGCTCCCTTCTAGGCTTAGTCCTAGGGGATGCCTCAGTATATTGCGAAAGCTAAGATACTTTTGATGGTGAAAAGGAATCAAATGAGTGTGGGATCACTATCGTCCAAAAACCACCTATACTCGCGTCCCTCTAAATATACACCGTTGTGAATTTCGTTTTACTTTCCTACAAGATTTTCTGAATGTCTCTTCTTCAGAATACCCACCAGTCGGAGTTAGAAACCATTCGCCATCACTACGAGCACCAATTAAAAGGAATGCGAGAACGTATTGAACATGAAGAGGCGCGTCGACGAAAGCTGCAAGAAGAACTGGTTCAGATTACGGTAAGGTGTTTTACTGTAGATGTTTGTCGACATAACAATACTATGGAATGAATCTATGGCTCAATTGTTAGATTTTCAAAAAAAAATATAGAAGAATGTCTTTCAAAAAAAATATAGAAGAATGTCTTCCGAATCCTCAGATTGGCACCCTTTTGGGCTTGCTCTTGGTGCTGCCATCATAGGTACTTTCGAGTGTGAATGAAAAAGAAATGGCGGATTTTAACAATCTTTTTTTTGCAACACCCCTTGGGCTTTCGATTTCGGGTGATAGCATGTCAAGCATAAGTTTCCATCTTTTCGATGAACACAGGATAAAGGAAAGAGCACTCGGCGTCGATAATTTCTTCTTTGGGTATGCGCCACGCATTCTACATCATTTATAACAGTAATGGCACTTGACTGCAGTTTGATCTGAGCAATGATTTTCCCGTTCCTTCTTCTTCTTCTCCCTAGCGTTAGTCCCGCGCAGTCGCAGGGTCCGCTGTCTTTGTCAGTCGTCGCCACTTTGCTCTGTCCAGGGCATCTTCTGCTGTGGCCATGACTTCACTTAGGTCCTTCTTGATACGTCCTTCCACCTCTTCTTTGGGGCTCCTCGCGGTCGCTTGCCTTGCGCTTCGAAGTCCATTGCTTTCCTTAT